TGTTTTACGAAGAACAATATTAGAAACATATGCCTAAATTATTACAACATATAAAATGTGTCACTGATGTATGACGGGTTGGAGGACTTCCACACAGTTAATCCATGCAAAACAATTCAGTGAAGAGTGAAATTAAAGTTGACATGAAACTTTTTATTTAGCTTGTCCATCTTAACCGTTAACTGGGGCCATTACCATTAAAAGTACTTGACATAATTTGCAGTGACAAATTGTGAAATCATACAGGGATAGAGCTAGTACTTCCTACTTTGTTGGGTCCCATATCTTATCCGGGTACTTAGCGCTCAACCTGTCCCTCCTTCCATCCACCTGTTGCGGAGCGCGGCCTCATGCGCCACACGATGGCGCGCTTTCAATTTGTGGCCAACGAGGCTGAATAGGCTGCAAGCCTGTCTGTGGGGGAACTTGAAGCCGTACAGGGGGAAATTATGTTGCTATGTACCGCTGTGGACGGACCGAGGTTTGGAAGCAGCCTACTCAACGATTTGTACATTCGCTCTCCGCGCGACCTCGTCCTGCACGGAGCAGGTAAGGTGTCCGATGATGTAAGGGTCAGAAACTGAATCGTGTTTTGGTTTTCTTGTTGCATGGCTTTTTGTTATTAGAGAAAAACACGCGATGCTGGGCGAAATGCATGCCATCGACGTTTCTTGTCTTTGGGAAAGTTGACTGGATGAGGTGAAACCGGTGGCCGAAGCGCTAATGTGTCTCCCTTCATTGTGCGTTAAAACCCCAAATGTAAATACAGAGGGGAGCGTGCAGGTGGATTGAACAGGGGTTTTCGTGTGCTGTCGTCAATAAGCACTGATTGCATGGGTTACCATGTTAATTATAACATGTTGACATATTGCCCTTACAAAAATAAAATTGGTAAACTATACAGGAAAGATTGAAAGTGCTGCGCAGACACATTAAAGTAAATATTTTCTGGAAAAATTCGCGTGTCCCAGACTTATTAAATTACACCCGCTTTGCTTCAATGTGGCCTCTCTTTTCCCCTGGCTCCCATGCTCTCAGTGTTTCGGTGTAAATACAGTGGAATGTGTTCTGAGAGCTTGAAAGGCGAGTTTAGTGGCATTACTCTCCTGCTCTGTCCAAGTCCAAATCTACTGTTGCTCCACCTCTGTGTGTGCATGTAGACGGGGGGAGACTCCTCAAGGTCACAGACTTATAAGACAGACAGATGTTGCTGTCCCAGCCAGGAAGGACATTGGCAGGATCATTCTGAACTTGAACTGATATTATCATTGAGCATTGTTTCTATGCACAATTGTGAAATTAAATTGTATTATTAAATAAGAAAATTTCATTCACTTGTCAACTTGTAATCCATTAAGTTTTCATTAATATTCTATTCTTGCCAAGATAATCATATTTGGAGAAGCTGCCAGTTCATCACAGGGCTGGACAAATAAGCAGACATGTGCTCTAACCCCTATTCATTCACTTGTTTCTCCCCACACTTCAGAGACTTTCACTGGATACTGTTGTATTATAGTGTCATTTAGATTATATGACTAGTCTTTCATTTGATTTATCATGTGATGTGGTTTTGTAAAAGGTGCATGTTATTTTGGATTGAGAAACGCACTGGTTTTCAATGAAAGGATGTTGAAATAGGGTTTAACTGAAGCTATCTCTTGGCATCTTTGCATTTCATTGTGCTTATGGCATTTAGGTGATTTTTCAGCTACCAAGAGTAGGAATTCGGAAACAACTTGATGTACCAGAATAGCTTCTCTTTCCTTCTTTCTTTTTTTAAATGTTATACACCTGCTGAAAGATGTGATTTTGTTAAATTAGCTCATTCAGGAAACAGGAAATCTAGATAATGCAGAGGCTGCAGGTTATGAAGAGATCTCTAAATTTAGAAACCTATTAATGATGTATTGAGGATGTGTATAAGTGGCTCAATAATAAGAATTAGGTCCTAATATTTTGTGCATTGAATGCATTCCTTCAGCCCTGTCTTCCTGGGTCAAACCAGTTCACTGATACCAGAACACGTTTCTGTTCAGCTCTCAGAGCAAGACTTTGGGGTTTGGGCTGTGGAAGGTAGCTGGGAAAAAAATGAATAATTTAATGTTTTAGAAAATGGGTATGAATGTTAGTTGGCTGGGTATGGCAGTAATGCATTATTCCAGACCACTTCTGGTCTCTGCTATGGAAATCCTCTCAGCGGTTACAAGTCCCAGAGCACAGCAGAGCCAAACTCGAGAGCAAAGAGAAACCCTCTTCCACACTTTAGGTTGGATTCACTGCTGTTTGACAGTTATGCCTACAGATATTCTCTCTCTCTCTCTCTTTCTCACACACACACACACACACACACATGTATTTTACATTTGACCACAAACAAAATTTAAAAAGAATTAAGTCAGTTCAGATCAGACAGCAAATGCCTTCTAATAAAAGTTTGTTATTCCTTTTTCTTGTCTGTGGCTCAAATGAGTTTTTACTGTAGAAATTTAGCAATAGCACCAGAGCAAAAGACAATGAATTAGCAAGTATTGTTATGAAGTGATTTTCAAGCAGAATAGCCGTTTGCCACTTTCCTGTTAAATCTGAAGATGTGCTGGTTTTCTTTGTCATATAGATAATAAATAGTAGGACAAAAGTATTAGTTTTAACATTTTCCTTCATTTTGTAAACAAATAAGTGAGAACCTTTAAAATTAAACAATTAATCCTTTCATTTGTAAAACAACAGGAAATAGCAAGAAGAAAATGTCCCTAAATATTTCTTAGTCCAACATGAAACTTTAAATAGCTAGTTTTGCTAGACTTATTGATTAATCAAGTAAATCATTCGGCACTGGACAAAAACATTAGAACTGTAAGTCTTAGCACAGAAAGCTTTAGATTACAGCCAAAGTGTGTACATTGTGAAGGATAAAATGCAGATATTAGTGCATGTGTGTCTAAACCATTTTAACTTCCCTCTTTGCTATTCATAACATTTCTGCTTTTTCTGCATTAGGCAGTGTGACAGCCCTAAGTGTCACATACGGTACGTTAAGTGTTCCTGCGGTCCGGTGATCGCTCTCAAGAGAGAAAGAGAGATTATTTGCTCCTATCTCAGTTGCTTTTTTTCCTCTGTCAGCCTCCACATTTCTTGTTCTGTCGTTCTTTATCATTCAATGGCTTTAGTGTGTTTTACTGAAGCTATTTTCAACAGCCCCTGTGAAACTGTATTCCCAGTTGTTGCTCCACAGTTGCATAACGTCAGGGGCATAAATAATGGAGTACTTTCCCTTTCTCCCTAACACACACAAAGTACAATACACTGCAATATATGTTCCCGTGCTAAACCAGGGAGGTGGGCTATCTTTCAAGTAGTCTTAACTGAGGTCTCTGCAATAGTGTGGACCTATTTCCAAAGAAGTCTTCAGGGAGTCTCATCTTTGTCACTTATTCATGAAATTCATGGCAACTGTTACATACCCAGTTGGCCCAGAAAATAAAAACTTAACCTGACTTTAATCACACCATTAATATAGAAGGTAGAATTCTGCTCAGGATATGACAGATATGTGGCATACGTTGTAATTACGCTCGTTTGTCAGTTATTGTGCCCCCGTGCTTATGGTTCTGAGTGAAATATCTCGGCATCTATTGCATTGACTGACATGAGACGTTCATGCTCAGCTCAGAATGAACTCGGGTTTATAACTTTTCATATAGTGCCATTATCAGTTCACACCTTTAATGTTATTCAGTACTTGGTTCTGTTACCAAATACCTGCCAAAGTAATGACATTCCCATCAGCCTCAGCTGTACTGTATGTTTTGTGCTACTTGGCAGAATGTTAAAGCATGCCAACACTGGTAAACAGATATGGTAAACATACTAGCATTGTCATGCTAATACTAGTCTTTAGCTTAAAGTACTCTGTGCGCACAGCCTCACAGAGCCACTAGCATGGCTGTTGAATTTTAGTCAAGTTATTTGTGTGTACTTTATATAGAGCTGGAAGTCTGTTTGTGGTCTTATTGCACGTAAACACTTTTATAATTAACCAACTAGGCTCTATTTCTCAGGTTGGGCATATTTATTTTTGAGTGGAAGTAGCTTTCCAACAGTCAGGCTCCCTCTGCTCCATTCCACCTTCCCTTTCCCCCTTTCTCAAATCCACATAATTATTATGTGCATAAATAAAGAGTGAAAGAAAGAAAACGGGCAGAAATAGACTGGGGAACTTTGGTTAAATTGTGGCAGAAAGAAAGAAAGGAAAGATCAGAGAAATAGAGCTTTTTTCTTCTGTATTTCCCTCCTCTCTCTGCCTTTCATTTCTAAAGTATTTGTGCAAATGTCTGTGTGTAAGTTGTTCAAGTCGAGCAGGTGCACATTACATAGAAGGACAGGGCTGACTGAGCAGAGAGGGAGAGAGGGAGGGGTGGTCTGTCTTATAGGTCGTACAAAAGAGCCAGTGTTTTCTCTCTCTCTCCCTCTCACAGTGCTGAGTGAAGACAGCATTGCACAGCCTGTCACCCCCTCATCCTGTGGCCCACTCACAGCTCTCCTGTAACATAGGTACCTGCTATAGAGCTTTACATTAATTGAGTTTCACTTGAGGAATTAATACTTTTAAAGTATTTGCAGAAGTGTGACAGACAACATACCAGCAAATAGAAAAGGAAGGCTGCATTCAAATATGCTGTCTGAGTTAGCTGTGATGCCTTTTGTATCACCATATTACAGGTGAAAGCATGCTTGTAGTCATTCCCTGTCGTGTGTGTGTGTGTGTGTGTGTGTGTGTGCACATTTGAAGGTTGCATTCCTGAGCTTGCTGAGCCATAGACAGGCCTCAGGCCTGTTTTTTTCCTCTGTTGTTACACACACACACACACACACACACACACACACACACACACACACACACACAGACACACACACACACGACAGATCGATGACCTTAGTCTTTGGCACTAAAAAAATAAAGCTTGGCATTGAAAACAAAACCATAATTGAAAAAAACAAAACTGTAACTGAAAAATCTAACACTGGAATTGAAGCATTTATATTGAAAATAATGGCATTAAAAAAAGTTTTTATTTTAAAAATGACAATCTTCTCATTTTGTCTTAGTGTCTTTTTCAATGCCAAAGTAGTTTTTTCAGTGACAGTCGTCTGATTATTATTAATTTTTTTTGTCAATGTCGGTGTTTTTCAATGCCAAAGGTTTCTCTTTCAGTCTCCCTTTACTGTCGAATCAGAAGCCAACTTCAATGTCGTATGGATCTCTTTCACTCTATTGGTACTTTTCTGTACTAGGCAGACCTAAAATTCATTACCCCTGTTCCACGCAGTATTATCATCATCAGCTTATATTAGCTATAGCCTACCTGTAGCTAACATTAGTACTGGCTGCAGCAGACCTCTGCCACACCAGCATAACATTAGTTAAAAGTGAGCTTTAAGGTAACTCAGTTCTGTGAGTAAAGACACCAGTAGATAGAAAAACAGATTGAGAGCTCCAGCTGAATTCAGCAAAGCTGCTGCAGTAACTATGTGGCTATGCTCAGCAGACAGAAGCCTTGATACGGACAGCAGCTCAGGGGAGAGGGCTGTCCTCTCCTCATGGATCTCAATCCAGAGTATGCAAATCTCACTTTCCTTAGCCCCGCCCCCAAAGCCCTGCCCTCCACGCCAAAACTGTGACAGAGAAATGAAACCGAAAAAAAACTTTGGCATTGGCTTTGTCCAGGGTGTACCGTGCCTCTTGCCCAGTGCTTAAGACTAGTCATTGGTCTGGTGCCATATACAGTCGTGCACTTAGGTGGGCTGTGACACAGTATGGATACAGTCACTAGTGACGAATGAGAGGGTGGTATGTGTGTGTATATTGTGTCTGCACAAGTGTGTGTGTGTGTGCATGTATGAGAGTGTTAGTGGAGCATTCAGGTGACTCGTCTGAAGGTTACACAGGGAATTCAGGGCACCGAAACATTATCCATCTGTGTCTCTCTGTCTGTCTTTCTCTGGATGTGGCTCTCTCAGTTTCTCTATCTCTATCTATTTGCTCTGTTGCTTTCTCTCTGGTCCTCTTCATCTACCTCCCCCTGTCTCTTCATGTCCGCCTTCATAATTAATGCTTTTTTGCCAAATACATACAGTATAGTAGAGCAGGGTTTCATGTAAAATGTTTTAATAGTAGTGCAGATGTGATACTTGAGTTTTGGTTTGAAAAATAGATGATTTTTCCCCCCTTACCTTTTTTCTTAGTCTTCTCAAATGCTAAATGTTGTTTAAACACATAGAGCCAAGTCTAGAACTGGGAAAGAAATGAATCATTATTTTAATAAGCTCTCAAGTGACAGAATATTTTGACCCTCTCATGCATGTAGCTGGGGAGGACAAAAATACACTTCTTCTCTGAATATGATATAGTCCAGTACAGCACCACCTTTAACTATGACCTCAATAATAAACATATAATTGAATGTATGCATTTATGACAATTTCATCAAAAACTGAAAGATTTTGAGCTTCACAAACACACATGTGGAAGTGTCGCACTGATTTGTATACAATGCTACTCTTCACAAACACACATGGACATGTCGCACTGATTTGTATACAATGCTACAGGTGTACCTAATAAAGTGGCTGAGTGTTTATACCTCCAGCCATGCACAAAATAGCTCTGATTGTTTCCCTATACAACAAGGATAATAGGTGTGTGTTGGACTCTGTCTGTGTAGGACAGATAAATCTTTTTGCTCTGTGTTTATGGTTGTTTTGAGACCTGGCTTGGTCCAGTAAGAATTCCTGATGCTGTATCCTGGCAGAGGGTGGGTTTCCATGGCCGTCACCAGCTTGGCAGTAGAGATAACGGTCTCCCAAGTGCTCGGCTTTGTGCTTTCCTTTGTTTTGGTTTGAGCTCGCTCCAATGTGGATTTTCAGAGAAATGGCACAAGGACGAGATGATGTGTGATTGTTGGGGGGAGCGGGTGCAGGAAGCAGACAGTGACACAGATACATATACTTAACTGCATCATCTGAAAGGAGGCAGAGTTCAGCTCTGAGCAAAGGCATCATGATCAGAGGCAGCAGGCAGGCTGGAGGCTGCTTTAAAGAGAAGGAGTATGTGTGTTTCCTGCTTGCAGAATACTTTTATAACATCGCAGGAAACAGTGATGTATGTGCATGTTTACGTTTGTACTGCACAAGAGAGGACAGATGTGTTAGGCCAGGAATATAGCACATTCTCTTTTTAGAAGCAAGCACACATGGACTGTACATGTTTGATTTTGTATGTGTGTAATCCTCCGCCCTTCCAGTGCCTCTGGTAATTTTAATGTTTTAATGTTTAACTGAGACCGACAGGAACAGCAGTAATGGCAGGTAAATGGTTAACATCTTACACTTGAAATCCCACAGCTCTATGTCCATTCAAACTATGTATTCTTATAGAACCCATTCATTTTTATTATTAAAAACTACTAGTAATAATGACTGAAAAGCATAGTTAAAATGTAACAGATGATGCATTTTAAAATATTCTCAGAGACTTTAACACTAGAAAAGACCGTTCATACCAATTTGACCCATAATTTAGAACATGGTGTGAATTCACCTGCAGTAATATTTGCTGAGGCTGCACAGTTTAAACAGACACCTGAGACCTGGAAATTTTAGTCACATATTCCCAGAATATGCGCAGGGAAGTATGTGTATTTTGTTTTGGTATGTATGATTTTGCAGAAGATATGTTACATTACAACAGAGTCAGTTAGTTTATATCTTCACTTATTAACTAACAGTTGCTGGAGCTGTAAGGAGATGGGAAATAAGAGAACACTGTAGGAGAGAAAAGGATTTAAAAAGAGAGAGGGATGAATGAGGGAGAGAGTGTTTAAGCAGTTATGATATGCTGAACATGATATGTTTAACTTACAGGTTGTTAACTATGTAGTAACATAGAGAACTTGCTAGGAAATGGCCAGGAAAAATGATGTAATGAGTAGTTGTTGTTTATGAATGGCCAGAAATGACTTGAAGTCATGTAATATTTGAAAACGATGTACAAATTTCATAGATATGAGTCACTGGATAGTATTTACAGTGAAAATATGTATTTATTTAATTCCAAGTAATTTTTGGTCATTTATAAACTACTACTCATTACGTAAATTTTTTTTGGCTATTTCCTAGCAATGTCTGTATATTGCTACATAGTTCACTGTCTGTAAATTAAAGGGTTACCAAATATTGACACCACTGTCATGTCTGTGTGTGTTAAATATGAGGCTACCACCAGCAGACAATTGGCTTAGCACTGCATGAAGTTAGGAAACAAGGGGAAACAGCCAACCTAGTACTGTTTGTAACTTGCTCAATCATCAATATCTCATAACTTAATCATCACAAAAAAAAACCGAAATGTAAAAATAGCTAGTCGTGGTTTTACAGGGAACTACAGTATGTTCCTGTCTGTTTCTTGGCATTGCTTGCCTGGCAATAATACATTTTCCAGAAGTCACCGTGACCCACTGTGGTGCTGGTAGGTTTTGTTAACTTTGGACAAAGCCAGGTTAACCTTTTGCCCCTGTTTCCACTTTGTATGCCAAGTTAAGATAACTGGTGATAGCTTCATATTTAATGCACAGATGTGAGAGTAGTGTCAGTCTTCTCATCTTGCCCAGAGGCACATTTATAGGGAAATGCATATTAGATTTGAGGTGGATGTGACAACCCAGATGATCCAGTCAGCATTCACAGGAGAGTTGTTTTACTTTTTTAGAAGTTCCAGATGACTCATTCACATCTGTTGTGGATGTGAAATTGAGAAATATGGTGTGTCTATCAAAATCTGTTCTTTTTGGTTGCTCATCAAAGCCACAAATAGCACTTTCTTTAAGGCCAGCTGACATTTGCAGCCTCAGTAATTTTCACTATTCACAGGTGCATTTAGAAGAAAAAAAATGCTTTAGTCATCCATCCATTATCTGTACTGTACTTATCCTGTGGGTGTGACCATTCCCAAGATGCATTGGGTGAAACATTGAGTAGACTCTGAACAGGCAACCAGCATATCAGATTGAAAAATTCACACTCCTGAGTAATCTAGAGTCGTCTAATCTGCATGTCTGAACATTCAAACTCTGCAAAGAGAATTCCTTTAATATTCCGTTAATCTGTTTATTTGTCCAAGTTTGTTTCTTGAGACTTTAAATCCTCCACAAAAACCCCTACAGCTTCCTGTTGGCTCAACATAGATTTTCTTAGTCTCAGCAGCTCAGTCTGTTTCTTCACAACATATTGTTTTGTATAGAAAATGAAGAATTATCCCAGTATTAATTTAATCTCCCTCTTCTTCGTCTTCTTCAGGACTCTGCTGTGGAAAAATTGCCTTCTCCAGAATATGCCTTATCTCCATGGTAACGGGCCTCAGGCAGACCCAGAGAAGCACTGGGCCAAACTGGTCCCACTCTCGTCCAGCCTACCTGATGCAATACTGCACAGAAGAAGCTTTTAATATAAATCCGCACAGCTAATGATTCTTGTAGTTATTCTGCCATTTACAGTACAGTGTTCTCACGGGGCCCCAAATGCCTAAAATAGTGCCTGGAAATTTCATTCCATTTTAAGTTGATGTTATTTAAGAAGGTATTACTTTCTACTATTTTGGGATCACAATGCAGAGGACTGTTTATTCTCTAAAACCAGGAGACAAACATTACTCAGAAATGTAGTTTCCCCCCATCATTATGTCAAGGATATATTTGTTCTCAGTTAAGGGATCTTAAACTGGGCTGCATCACTCCCACACTGCTCTGAAAGGAGTCAGACCAGGACCAGAACAGGACCAGAATGCACCAGCTGTTCAGCCAGGTGCTGGGACAGAGGGATCTGTCCAGAGCAGGGGATCTGTTCTCTCTGGAAGATGCAGAGATTGAAGAATGTCTTTCTCAGGCTCTGGACCAGATCAAGGCCATCTCTTGTTCACCGGTCAGCAGGCAGAACCAACGCACTCACATGATATTTATACAAAGGGCAGATGTCAGTTTGATTAATTATTTATGATCTTATCCATAATTCATCTTTTTGTCCTTAATTCCCATTACTGTCCACTGGCTGACAGGACTATTTGACCAATGACAACGACCAAGCAGTGGTAGAGATCTGCATAACGCGCATCACCACGGCCATAAGGGAGACAGGCTCCATCGAGCGACACAGTACAGCGCTGGTGGGGCTGTGGGAGTCGTGTCTGGAACATAACCTCACCCCACAAGGTGAAAACACAGAGGACACCCCACATGCCAAGATAGCCTCCGACATCACCAGCTGTATCCTGCAGGTACATACACAGCACAAACACAGACAGTACACATTGTTTTGTAGTACTTTTGTGTTTCTTGAAGCACAAACTATACATACAGAACGTACATTTTATATAGACTTGTTGACACCTCATTGACCCCACCCCACTGCTGGGATTAATGAGGATTTTCAAAATTGGAAAAAAGCCTCACTGTCTTAAGTTTAATTTATTTAAGCATCCCATGATGCAATTTTTTTTTATGTGATATCATACATAAAACACTGAATAATGTGATACTTCAGTAAATTAGTTTGAAAAATATCTTGCTCACCAACCATTAAAGCTACTTTGCCTATTTTCTTTTCAGACACTAGAGAGTCATGTGAGATTCACAACAAACCCGCACCATAGCTGCTCCTAACCAATTTACTGTATACAGTACCTATGTAAAAATAGCCACAGGTACATCCTGGTACACATTTTGCAGAGCAAGGCTACAGGCAGTCATGCTGAAATCTGACTGAAGGGGGTGAATATGGTTAAAACAGTAGCTCAATAATCAGGCACACACAACTACAAGTGATACAAACATGTATTGGTACAATATCAAACTTTTTCCAACAAGAAAAACATATCTGACAACAGTTGTGACCTAGAGGGAGATGGCTCTCCAGATGGAGACAATGAGACATATCGTTAGTGACATTGCACTGAAGAAGTGGCAGAAATATTCCTATATCTTATACCAATATTACAATAAAATACTCCATTACAAGTATAAAAAGTAGTAGTATAAGACCTAAAACATAATTTTTTTCTACTTTTCTTTCCCATAAAGCATTTTGCGTCCTCAGATTTTTCTTGTGGTTCCTTGGAAGGGCCCTGACCCCCAGGAGGGGAACCTCTTTTCTAAACAAACACTTTATGTGAGTATTAGCAATGCACTATAGGCAATGCTGCAGACAACAAGCAAATTGTATTCTGCAATGTTTATTGTGACCCAGAGGCCACCATTCTGACTAAGACGTAACCTGAGGACCACTGTTGGCGTGGGATATAGACCTGACCGGCACTATTTTACTCCTAATAGCCACCTTGCATTTTCAAAATTTTATATATTTGCATGACTTTATTTACAAACCATGTAATACATGGAAATGTGTTTTAAAAAGTAACAATACATTATTGAAGGCAGAGCAGGGACCACCTGCATTGCCTTTGTGGACCACCAGTGTGGACCACTGGTTTAAAACCCTGCTCTAAACCATTGATCATAAACATTAGGTTGAAAGGCACTCTGGATATTGTAAAGTACAAGCTGAGAAAGAACAGTGAGGCTGAAAGTGGGTTTACAAGTAAGTATACATCTCATCACCGGAGTGGATTTTTGCCTTTGCTATACTTTAAATATAAATCTGTCCTTCATTCTCCATCAGACCTCCACAGCTAAAAGGGGCCTCCCATCTCCACCTTCTCTCTCTCACTCATTCTTTCCTGTGGGAAAGGGGATGTCTTAATATCACAGTAATGAGACTGATTCTTGAGTGTGCACACATACTCACGAAGGTAGAGGTGAGACTGAAAGCTCTGACAGCGCCTCCTGGCTCTGATGTCCTAACTCCAACAGTTATCATGGGAACACTTCTCTCTCTTGTTTCTGTGCTGTGCCTTCTCACTATCCTATTTTCTCAGATGTATTTTGTTTGCTCTTTGTCTTCCTATCATTTTGAATCCTTAGATGCACAAATGCTTGTCTTACCCTTCTGCTGAAACTCCCATAGAGAGGAGGAGAGAAGTAAGCAACTGACTACTGGAAGAAGGCTTTTCATTAGCAATGTTTGTCTGCAATGCACATACTCAGACATACATGCACACAGATGTCTGGCTTATGATGAGATCTTTAAAGTTAAAGTTTCTTTCAGATAAGATCAACATACAGGAGTTCTCTCAGATAAATCAGTTTGTACATTCATAAATGAGAAACCAGTGAGAGGGGCTCTGGGTAAAATGTACTAACTAGTGGATACTACTGACTAACACCTCCCACCCACATCCAGCAGCAGTCAGCATTGATCATTCTTGTGTATGTACCCCAGTCCCCGAGCAACAGAATAAAGATGTGGTACCCAGTTATATAACAATGCAAAGCAATGATACCAATGACTCATAGCTGCAGTAATAACACAGCAGGTGTCCCAGGTACCAACACCTAAATTGTAATTGAAAGCTTTCTAAAAAATATCTGCAAACACACATATGTAGAATAAAATGATCACCCGTCAAGTGAATCTAAGGTAATTTAGATTAATTGACAGTTTGATGTAATAATAACTTTCTTGTGGATGCATTGTGTGTAATGACATCATGTGACAGAATAATGGTCTGAGAGAGTGTGTGTGTATAATTTTAAACTCAAATGTCTTCAAACATTAGTCTCCCTTTTCTCCATCTTTTTTGTCTCTCTCTCTTTCTCCCTGTCTTTCTCTCTCTCTCTTTCTCTCTCTCTCTCTCACACACACACACACACAGTACAGGCCTAAGCAGACTTGATATCAGTCTGTCCAGTTGAGGGTGCTAGTGCATTTTGAGTCTCTTTCCTCCTTCTTTATTCAGATTTGCTCATGTGTCTGCATCCTCAAATACAACACGCTCTCCTGCCCGTCTTTCTATTCTTGCATCACATGGTACTGTAAATGCAAACAATTTAAGGCTTAAAGCATGTTTTGGTCGTTCTGGCGCTCACTGTACTGCTTGATGAACATGCAGCTTGTCTGAAATTACTACAGATCTATGTGAGTCTCTCTGTTAGTGAGAATGTTTTTAATGTGTTAAGTGTTAACATCATGCTTACCCCTTAATACCTACAGTACAGTGGTTCTTGTTCTTGGCTGCTGTAGGTATTAAGAAATAAAGGCTTGTAACAGAGGCCCTGTAAAGTCAAGCTATACATGCAAACCCAGGATTGGATCTCCATCAAATAGATCTCTGCTTCTGTCAGTACCATGCATGCATGTTTAGCCCCTTCACCACAAATCACTTTACAAATTAAATATTTAAAATTTAGTATAATGTAGCATACTTTTAGAATAAATGTAAATTTCCCCACATTTCCTTTCCCTGATTGTTTGGCGATTGCTGTCTCCTTGACCTCCTCTCTTCTTTCTCTCTGCAGAACTACAGCTGTCCTTCAGTCATGGTGCTGGCTGTCCCGCTAGCAGTGCGGTTCCTTCAGAGAGGGAACAGGGAACTGAGCAGGAACATGTCCAGCTATCTCTCCCTGGCTGCTATAGCTAAGGCGGATCTGTTGGCTGAACACACGGAGGCCATAACACTCAGTGTGCTGGGAGGTGGGACACATGGACATACAAACACTCACACACAGAGACATTCCTGCAACAAATAAGTGAAAAATATCTGAGTATTTATGTACATATGCATACTCTTCATACATACTGTTTCATACATGCACACAAACACAGAACTGCATGAACAGAACTGAAACCTTTTCCTGCCATACCACACTAGATGTTGCTGTTTAAAAAGGGAAAGGGACCAGTAGCGTGATATTTTTGCAAACTTTCAAACTACCTGTTGTCTGAGTCTTTGGGGACCATAGGCTGGCCCCCGCAAGGAAATCACTGACTCTTAGGGTGGCAAGAATGGTTCAGTGTTAGGGTCAGGGTTAGGTGTTAGGCAAGTAGCGGTTATGGTTAAGGTTAGGATAAGTCTACAGGAGATGAATGTAAGTTAATGTAAAGTCCTTGCAAGGAATGAAAACAGAGCATCTGTGATTGCGCGGACGTGTCTTTTTACAGAAAGATTTATTTGGTTGCAACATTACGCTGATTTTCTAACAAGACAACTACATGATTATTGGGTTTGATGTGTGGTTTTGGATGGTCTTACTGTTAGCAGACCTACCAACAATAAGATTAACTGTTTTACTGGAGTGGAAATTTAATGTAATGTAATGTAATTGTTGGTTGTAGTAGAAAACCACAGTCTTAACTTATCATGAGCCATAATAAATACTTATAGCTCACTGAGGATGGTAATAATGGTAAATAGCAGCTGTTACAAATCATCTTTCCCCTGATGATTCTTTCATACAGGATAAAAATTCATACATCAGATGCAGTTATTGTGAGGAGAAGAAAACTGTTTCTCTTTCGTCTAGTGCATTTTATCTTGTTTTTGTTCGATATTGCTGCATAAACATTTTTTTTCAACTTAGGGTTATTTGTTCTACTTTTTGATCTGAACATATAAAACAAGTTGATTGTTTACACTGATTTGCCAGACTGTTCACCAAATGATACCAATCTATCTAGAGTTTGTGAGGAAGTGCATACATGATCTAAAAGCAGAACTACTGGGATGCAACACTGTTTAGAAAATCCTCCAGGAGTGCAAGAAGAAATTGTCCCCAGACACTCATCTAAATCAGTTTTTCTTCAACTTCCCTTCTTAACAGAGATCAGGGAGGGGAGCCTAGCTGACCCCTCATGTTGGTGGTTTGGTTGTTTGTTTTTTGGAGACTGTCACTCTAAGGTGCACTGTGAAGTTTCCACAAGAAGATAGTTCACTGTTTTTACACGTGAAGATTTCCAAAGAAATGCCAAGATAGCAGTGAGTAACAAACCTAACTCCATGCTTTAAATTCATATTTCGGAGTTGCATAATGCACTGCCTTTTGTGTTTGCTGTCATTTTTTTCTGAGTTTTTTTTTCCCCATTTGAGTAATAGTAAAACAAAGCAAAGCCATCTTTATCAATCATTATTTATATGGTACCTTTTATAAACATATTACAAAGCGCTTCACAGAGACAAAATCAATAATATTAAAAAACAGTCAATTATAATATAATATAAATGAACTGGGGGGGGCATGAATATAATCTTGGAGCTACCACTGCCCTATCACCTCAAGAGTTTAGCCATTGACCTCCACTGTTGTTAAAAAATAATTTAAAAACACATCAGTGAAACACACCGCTTCACTGGTTGATGTTTCCTTATTACAAAACACCAGACCTTAATATTTTTTCAAATGTTCCCCCAAAGGCTCCAAACAACCATAACATTTTACGGCATCTGAAGTGAACAAGAGTCGGGGGGCCCATGCATGAAATCTCTGGATTTTAACAAATATTTTAATGTTTCATTTTAACATTCAATCCCTTTAGTCCACACGCATGTATGAAATTCCTGATTGTCAGCCACTCAGAGGAGATGAAGTCATAATGTTTGTTTCAAAACCTTAACTCTGAATCTTCTTTCCAGTAATTTTATGGCCCTCCCCATAATATCACACTACCACTGGCTGTGATCCAAGTTGGGGTACTATTACAGCTGGAATACAACACACACATATACAGTGCATACCAGGAGTTCAGAGAGGATAAAAGTGAACAATGCCTGAGGATTTTTATTATAGCCGGTCCAGATTTATGTCCCCTTGGGCAGTTTTTAGTGCAGCAGAGGCAGTTTCAAAATTTTACCCCCTACTGACTCTCACTGCTGAGGCTCATCTACTCTGTTCTAAACTTTTCAACCTCACGTTGCCTTTTTTAACAGACTTCACTGCTCCCCTCTGAAACCTTAACATAAACACAAGACACATTTGTAGTTCATAGACACAGGAACAGATGACCAGTCTTTTTCCCAGCAGGCCTTTGTTTAGGCAGTGGGCTTATGTAACAGGGTTTGGGTGATGTTGGGGATGTATTTCTGCATCCTATACATTTCATGCACTTCATGCATCTGTCAGTTCAGTGTATAGTGAGTATTTTGAGGATGTGTATTTGTGTTTACCATTTACAGGAAGCCAGCAACAAGATACAATGCCAAGGTTTTATAGCCTGCTTCAGGACGCTGTCATTATCAAATGTATCTCTCTCACACTCACTCACACACACACACACACACACACACACACACTCACAACATGTGACACTGCTTTGGCCCCATAGGGACTTGGAGCCAAGAGTTCCTTCCTTCTCTAAGTAAAACCTGATCTTAAGGTAACACTGAAGTTTGGAATGTGTCCTCTGTTGAAGTCATATGTTTTTACTGGCTCCCCTGCTGCAAAACATATGTAGTTACCACACACTGCTTTGTAAGGTTAGGAGAAGGCAGGGCAGGAGGGAACAAGTGTGAAAGGTGATGTTTCCATTTCAGAATCTGCTTTATTGGCCAGGTGTGTCGGACACACGAGGAGTTTGACTCTGGTACATCGGCTCTCAATGTGTATGTACATATCCCCATGCAAGGGGCAAGTAAACAGTAAACCAGCATAAGGCTGTGTAATATAACAAAATAAGCAGTATTAACAAGCAACAAACAGTGCAAACAATGCAAAATAAGCAGTATAAACAGGCAGTAAACAATGCAGTTCATTGTGAAATGGGATAAGTAGTAATAAAAACAGAGAACTTAAAAATAGAGACCTGTACGGATCTGTATAATCTGTACAATGTATATTTACAGGTATTGCACTGAGGGTTATTGTCCAGTCATTCTGTCATTAGGGGTCATTAGCTGAAACCTGAGCTTTCAGTTTTTCAGAGTAGCTCCTCTTTGCTGCTCTGATCTCCCTTGTCAGTGTGTTCCTAGCCTGGTTGTACAGAGTCCTGTCCCCACATCTGTAGGCCTCCTCATTGAAGCTGCTTGAGTCTTACTGTAAAGCAGGGCTTGTTGTTGTTGTTGTTGTTGTATGTGCAGAAGGACTTTTTGGGCACACACACACACACATCCTCACAAAAACTGATATAAGATTTACGAACAGATCACAGTTACAGAAACAGGTAGACTATACAAAGATTGTATTTTCAGGAAAAACCTGTTTTAGTTCCCTAATAGGCCTAAACATCTGCATTTGGTGCAATTAAATTTTATTTGTATAGCGCCTCATCACAACAAAAATCATCTCAAGGCACTTTATATAAGTGGTAACTCAATTCAAAGGCTATAACCATCGAAGTCTGCATTTGAAGACTTATTGTGTCACCGCGTTGGAACAAGGTTCAAATGGTGGATCATTCATGACTCATCCTAACCCAGGATCTTTTGCGCCCTGGGCAGAGAGCAGCTCTCAAGGTTGCTAAGTGACAGGAGCAGCACTTCTTAATGCAACAGCTTAATACAACAGCTACGGAGGCTGTGTCCTTTGAAGGATGCTTCCCTTGAATTTGAGACACAGCAATACTAGGGTCTGGAGAAAGATGGAGAAAAACCCAACAAATCCCCTTGTGCAAGCACTTGGCAAGAATGGAGAAAAAGAAGCCAGGCTCTTTGTGGATGACCATCTGCTTCGACCGTTTGGAGTGAGTGGATAGAGGTGCGAGAGAAAAAAGCATCAAGATACAATGACATAGAGCTTCAGAGCCAGGGCTACCTGCAGAAATGTACACTGGGAGAGAGGGAGAGAACACATTATGGGAGAAAAGAAACAGCAAGTTAAAAAAAGAGTAGCTCAGATCATCATGGGGGACCCTCAGCAGTCTGAGCCTATAGCAGCATCAAAAAAGGAACGTCTTAAGTCTAATCTTAAAGGTAGAGAGGGTGTCTGCCTCCCGAACTGAGAGCTGGTTCCACAGGAGAGGAGCTTGATAGCTAAAGGTTCTTCCTCCCATTCTACTTCTGTTGACTCTAGAAACCACAAGTAGACCTGCACTCAGAGAGTAAAGTGCTCTGTTAGGATGATAAGGAACTATGAGGTCTTTAAGATACGATGGAGCCTTGTCATTAAGGGCTTTGTATGTTAGGAGAAGGGTTTTAAAATCTGTTCTAGATTTTACAGGGAGCCAGTGGAGAGAAGCTAATATGGGAGAGATATGATCTTTCTTGCTAGTTATTGTAAATACTATTTGCTGCAGCAGTTTTGAATTAACTGGAGGCTTTTTAAGGACTTACTGGGGCATCATGATAGTAAACTGTTACAGTAGCCTAGTCTGTAAGTAATAAATGCATGAACCAGTTTTTCAGCATCACTTTGAGACAGGATGCAATATTGCACAGATGAAAGTTCTAGTGTAATTTTAAAGGTCATATCCTGGTCATGACTCATTCTGTACACCAGTATATTTAGCACTTTGAATGTGAACAATTCAGCTATATAAGAAAACAGGCACCTTTATATCGAAATTGATCAATGATATTGCATCTCCCGGTGCTTACGGTGACTGGCTTTTTACTATAAACAATTTACATTCTGATATGGTTGAATGTCATGCAGTAGAAACCAGTTATTTTCTAGTATGACCCCTGTGTCTTAGAGCAAGGACCCTAAATTGACCAGAGTCTTGAAAGGCAGCTCAAAAACCTTTGGTGTGAGTGTGCATTGGCGAATTTGAGGCAATATGAAGCATTTTGTTCTGTATTCAGGTCAATAGGTGCTATAAAATTGCAGGCCATTTACCACTGAATGTATCTAAGTGGTTTTAATAGTCAAACCTTTATTTTGAAATGACAAAAGACTGATTATCCAGCAAGGGAATATACAATAACTTGACATTTTTATTCTTTCTCCCCATTCATCCAATCGTGTTATGCAAGATATATTTATGTACAAAAATACATTCAGTTTCACCTTTTCAACAAGAAAACAACAATTTAAATTATAATACAAGGCAACTTAGTTAATAAAAGATCAGAATGTGTAAACATTGTCCTCAGTTTCTTAAACACATGACAAATATAACAGTTGTACTCATTACTTTATGCATTATCCAAATAGAATACACACCCTAAAATTAAATGAGAAAAACAAACAAAAAAAAAAACCTAACAAAACAGAACTGGAATTACATAACACATACGAATGTAGCTGTTTGGAAATGTAAGGTATTAAAATGCTTTAAAAGCTCAGTGATGGGTATTTCTAGAATTGTTAGTTGGCTGTGCTTGAAATGAAACAAAGTACAGCAGTTTTATTTGCACAGATATTTCTTGCCTCATGTTGTACTGCACATTATGTCACAGTACATCTTTAACACATTGGAATGGTATCTGTGCTTACAACTATAATGGGGATAGATGACATGTCATGTCTAATACTGTAAGTGTACGTACAAGAACGCAAAGGTAGGAAAGCACAAACTGTATAGTCCCCAGGAAAATGAAAAGTGAAAACAGGGTTTTCTTTGATTATAAATTAACTGTGTGTGTGCTGTTTCTGCACAAATCTAGATGATGACTGTTTACTGGCTCACAACCTGTTCAACTTTATCAATAGACTTTTTATCTTCTTTTTTTTTTTTTTTTTTTTTTTTTTTTAATTAAGGCTAATTAAGGCTACAGTGTCATTTTTTGACAATACTTTTGTTGTAGAAATCTGCTCCAAAACTTGTCTTAATATGCTGTCGAGGCCTCCTGTGACCCAGACTCAGTGAACAGCACTGGCAGCAGTGCTGAGATATTAGCTTCTAAAAGGTTTTGAGCAGAACTGGCCTCTTCAACCAGTCAGAGATTTTCAGTTATTTCTGTTTGATCAGTAAGTTTAGTTGCATTTTCAGTTCTTGTAATTTCATAATGACATACCTGAAGACCAAGGCAGAGCATGGTGGAGCATAATAGTGGAGCAGGGAGAGTGAGTGCTGGGTGGAGCATAATGATTGATTTGAAGTTTCATGCTAGCGCTATCTTAAGTTACATACTGCAGCTTTAAATCTTTGGTAAATGCTGCTTGCAGCATGTTTCCTACTACAGTGCAAGTTTCCTAAGCTGTGTGTGTGTGTGTGTGTGTGTGTGTGTGTGTGTGTGTGTGCGCGCGCGCGCGCGCGCACTACAATGAGTGTAGCATGTGTGTGTGATGGCTTCAGTTCAGAAGGTTATGTTACAAAAATAAAGTTTTCAGTCTCTCACAGCATCAGCGTTTCTTTTTTTCTTTCCCCATTTGAATATGTCCAGCACAGTTCATTGCAGCATAAGGGTTCATTATAAAAGCAATGGACATGATGAATAAAACTATTCTTACAAATAGTACTTACAACTAATTCAGATGTTTAAGGGACATTACAGGGACAAAGATGATAACGATGGTGATGATGATGATCATGATAAAAACAGTTAAGTTGCTTTCTTCCCTTTTTACATTAAAGCTTATTACGATGTTGCTGATTATTTTGGTGATGTTGACTATGATGATGAAAATCACAGAGAGCAGAAGTCTGTTAGTTGATGAACTCAGCGCCTCCATGTGGCACCATTTCCGTCACACCCCACGCAACTATGTTCCCCCTCTGCTCGCAGCCCTGGCCCTCCCTCAAAGCCAAAGCAGAAATTTCTTCCTCTGACAGGACGCTGTCCCACATGTTCACCCCCGTCATCTTCCCAGCGAATGCCAGCTTGGAATCGAACCCTTCCTCAAACCCCGCCATGCCGCTCCCGCTGCCTCGAGACAGAGGGCAGCAACCGTTTCTTTCTTGCCCCAGCTGGAGTGTGCCTCCGTCAGGCAAGACATGCTCCTCAGCCACTCCGGGTGTTGTGGCCACTTTTTTCCCACCTACCCACAGCGATGCCAGACCCTGCTCGGAGAACCAAGCTCCACATAAGTGCATCCACTCTCTTGGGATCACTATGCTCCTTGCCTCCACCAGATGAGCCTCTCCTCCAACGGTGAAGAGCACAGAGTTTTGTCCGATTAGCAGCTGGATCTCATATGGGTTGCGGCGGTTGCCGTAGGAGAACAGCACGGTTTTGTTGGCGACAGCGGTGGGCTTCACCCACATGCAGACAGTGAAGGAGGAGATGGAGAGAGGCATGTCTGGTATGACAGAGGTGTAGATTCGACGGGAGCGCATGGGAAAGAGGAGGGCCATCTCGCAACCTATGCAATCAGAAGATGTGATAAATGTTCACTGTCACCGAATAAAAAATTTTACACATGCAAATTCACATGGGCTTTTTAAATTGATGTTGGCAATGACAAGTTTCTTACTAAGATACAAAATGTGATCAAATGATGTTCTGCTTTAAAGTGCTGTTCTTAGATCTACTCAGGATTTTATTCAGGGGTAGGAAAATTTTACCATATCAATAAATTGCACAAAGCACAATGAAAGCTTTTTTGAATAGAAGCATATGAAAGTCTGATTGAATGAACTACATTCAAAGATTGGTTCACGGTGAGGTGGTGAGGTCTTGAATCATGGTGGGTTTTCTTTTTCTTGTCCCACCAACACCCCTCCCTCTCTGGGTCATTGGTTCTTTCTGCTTCATTTCATTCTTCCTCCTGTTCTTCTCTATTTTTGTTCACTCAAACACACTCACGCTTACACTCCCATTCAGATTCACTCTGCATTGTGAAACCTAATTTTGACAAATTTTTCAGTACATAAAACTTGTACAGTTTGTGTGCTGTGTCCTTTTGAATGAGACCTTTCCAGCCTGGATTTCCTGCATTAGCATTAGCAGACACACTCCAAATCTACTAAAACTGGAGATCCTAAATATTGATATTTCGTTTGTCTCAAGTTTCTGCCACTCAAAATAATGGTGAAAAGGACCTTTTGACCATGCTCTGTGTGTGTGTGTACTCATGATGGTTTCCATCTGGTTCTACTTTCCCTTGCTGCTTTGGTGCGGTTCTTGCTAATGATTACACCTCCTCTTCTCCATATGTAGGCCAGACTTCCATTTCTGAGTCCCGTGTGTGTGTGTGCATCATGTTTAGGTTATTTTCT